TCATCGAGACCTTTTATTTGAGTACCCACATCTAATTTTTATATATTTATATATATTATATATATGTATATATAATATATATATATATCAAAAATGCATGTGGGTACTCAAATGAAAGCTCTTGATGAGTGTAACATCAGGATGAACTTATATCTTTAAAAACGTCGATAGTTAAAAAAGTACAGTGCAATTTAACAAAAGTCATTATTTAATGAACCAAAATTTCATTTATTTATAGTTCACAAGTCACGGCAGTCACATAGTGACTGCAAGGTTGCTAGTAATTATTATAAATGACTGCTAGTAGAAAATAAAAAAAAATCAATTTTTCAAGAGTATACTACCAGGACTTTTTTTTTTTTCAATGGAATTTTTAAAATAACCGTATGTCTACTTACATGCACTTCTCGCTATGACCACAAAAAAATAGAGTCTGTCGCCTGTGATCACCGATGCCTTCATGATACTCTCCTTCAACGTATCGGCATTCTCGATCTCCATTCACGACGCAGCTCTCAAAGTCTTTCTTCAACCATTCAGGATCTGGCAGAGGCAGATCCGGAAATATTTGCTTTCGTTCCACGTAGTACCAAGGAGCGCGTACATAGTAATACCAAGATATTACGCGTTCAACTGGATCTCTTACAACATTCATATAAATTGGTTGAGGAAGATTGAACCTTTTAAATAAATAAAAAAAAAAAAGAAGGTATTAGAAACAGGAAAAGTATAATTTTCATATGTCTTCGTGACTGGGTATTAAAGATACTCACTCGGTAAAGTTAGTGAAGCAAACGTGTTTAACGTAGACAGATGGTTCGTTATAACTATTTACAAGTCTAACAAGCTGACGCTGTATAAATAAAAATTAATAATTAGTTATCTTTTTTTAATAAAATAATACTTAATACTTATCGAGCAGATTGCTGTGAGTACATACTTGTTCATAAGGTGCAAGTCTTATAGTTTCAACGCGTTGCACTTGATCTCTGTTGAATGCAAAGTTATTTCTCACGGAAAGTCTTCTCAATAATTGCATGAATGTTTGAGATCCGACTTTCGGTACTCGGTTGAAGAAGAGAACGTGTTTATCAGCTCGTTTAGTATTATTCAGTGCATTCAAATCCAACATTTCATGATGATCGTACTGAAATTAAGATCATGCAATAATATTACTGAATAAAGAAAAATATATAAATACATACATTTATATCCATACATATAGATATATTTTAAATATGCATATGTGTATGACTTTCTGTATTGGTTAACGAGCCGACAATTTGACCGGGATATCTCGATAGCATGAGAGATTGTTCTGTAAGAGGTAGATCCGAAAAGAAGAAATAAAATTTCAAGCTTTCTCTCTCTTGGTAAGTATTATTTGTATCAATATGTTGAGAAGTGTTGTAAAATTATGTAATATACCTTTAATTTTATTCGCTTCTTTCTACGGCTAGTAGAAGAAACTTTAATGGAAGATGTGCAATAAGTGCTTTGATTTACTGGATTTACTGCAAACTGTGCCATTACAGTTTTTTAATGCGCTTCATTTACTGAGCTATTGACCGGGATATTTTTTTCAACAATAATTCAAGAACAGGTTCACAAGACGGCTGCTTTATGGTTAATAAATTAACCAGGAGAAGTGTGTGATGATGTGAACTCGAGCATTTAAATAAATATTAGTGGTGGGTAAAGTTGATGAATATAATTATTTTGATAATGATTGTAATTATTTTTGATAATTAAGGAAAGAAACGCTTTACTTTTTTTTATCTGTAAACAAATTATTTGCATATCTTAAAAAATTTTTTAAGATTAACTTTCTCGATTATAATTAATTTTTAATTAATTATCTAGTTGAAAATCTAGAAACTTTTCCAAGAAACATTAATGTATTTTTGCATCTTATGAATTTTTTTCATTTTATTTTTATACAACGCTTCGTTTTTTTTTTTCAAAACTTTATCAAATATTGTAACAGAAATACAATGATTAACATTATGCCTTTTCAAGTTTTTATTACATTCTCACCGATAGTCAATTTATTATGATTTATGATAAGTATTTAGGCTGCATTCGAAAATTCTCCATCTGTAGACTCATAATTAAGAAATGACCTTGTATCTTGTGAACTATTAACATTTTTAAAGATATAAGCCCATCCTGATGTTGCACTCATCGAGACCTTTCATTTGAGTACCCACATCATCTTTTCATATATTTATATATATTACATATATTATGTATATGTATATGTGAAAAATATATCAAAAATACATGTGGGTACTCAAATGAAAACTCTTGATGAGTGTAACATCGGGATGAGCTTATATCTTTGAAAACGTCGATAGTTAAAAAATTACAGTGGAATTTAACAAATATCTTGTGAACTATTCACATTTTTAAAGTTATAAGCTCACCTCGACATTACACTCATCAAGACCTTTCATTTGAGTACCCACATCAATTTCTCATATATTTATATATAATATATTACATACATGTATATATGAAAAATATATCAAAAATGCATGTGGGTACTCAAATGAAAGCTTTTGATGAGTATAACATCGGGATGAGCTTATATCTTTAAAAATGTCAATAGTTAAGAAAGTACAGTGCAATTTAACAAAAGTCATTATTTAATAAAGCAAAATTTTGTTTATTTATAATTCACAAGTCACGGCAGTCACGTAGTGACTACAAAGTTGCTAATTTACAATATTGAATTTGTTTGTATAAATTTTAATTATTTTTTAATTTTTTAATAAAAAATAAGTAATAATTGTACTTATAATATTTAGAGTTAACTAGAATTTAATCTTCCAATGAAATTTACTAGACTCATGTTAAAATTAAAAAACAAATAATATGTTATAATTGTATTTTTATTACAGTACTCGATAAAGTTCTAAAAAGAACGAAATGTTGTACAAAAATAAAATAACATTTTTGCATATTGTAATTTACAAAATTTCTAACTTAGAAAATAAATTAATGAGTTTAAAATCTGAAATAACATATAATTTTTGAATGGAAATTAGTCAGCAATTTAACACATAACTAGAACATTAGTAAATATTAAGTGAAGCAATCAAAACGGGATTCATCGTGTGAAGACATTGTTTTATTATAAAATATCTATAACGCGACTAAAGCAATTATTTTTAGTTTAAAATACTAGATAGCGAGTAATTTATAATGTTAAATGTGGTTCTCAATTTCATCAAGATAATTGAGTACTGCATCATAAATATTCGGTTACGTTGACCGACATTTATATCAAGATATTTACGTATAAGTGTACAGTATCATTTAACGGTGACTCTTTCCATTGATTTGCATATACGTTACATATATTCGCAAACGTTACTTACCAGTTTAATAGTAGAATATCTAGAGCTTTGGGGAGACTGAATAGCTGTCGCTAGTTGAATTTCTCCATCTGAAACAAACAACAACAACAACAACAATTTATTATTACTAAATATAATGCGATGTAGAAATGAAGAAGAAACGTATTTGGAAGTTTTAGACAGTGACTGTAACAATAAACAGATTTAAAAGGGAATCTAGAGGTAGTGTACATGAAATGTACACTGTATAAAGTAAAATAATGATTCCCACGCCTTCTCGAGCGTGATAGCTTCAAAATTGAATTCAATCTTAATAATTTCTTGCTTCAAAAGAGACGTGACAGTAAATTATTATACTAAAATATATACAAACAGTAAAAAAAGTTACGACAGATTTTACGGAGCTATTTTCCTTCTGAGATAATTCTATTTTTTTTTTTTTCAAGCGAATAAACCTGGGAGGTTTATTTTATGTTTTCTAAGAAATAATATTCTATAATATATGTGCAACACTGTAATTTGCTGATGATATAAACTCATGCAGGATCTTCCATGCACCAGCAGAGAAAGTATAAATGCTCTTAAAAATAAGAAAAAAAGAACAGTATGATTGTAAAACAAAACTCTTGCTTTTTTTATACGATTTGTCTGGAAAAAAAAAATAAACTTTGAGTGAGTAGACGTTTCCTGATCAAGTTTAGAGTAGATTGATGGACCTGTTGACCCAGAACTTGAGAAAGTGTGTAGTAGTGTGTCGCAGGATGATACTCTTGCGGTAAGTCGGCCCGTGACTATTTCTTCCTGATGGTAATTCCTCGATTTTGTCGTTTAATTGTTCGGAACGGACGCGCCAATCGACTAAGACTTTCATCTTTCTCTCTAGAAACGTCTTTACTTATTTCTCTTTGTTTTTTCTTCCAACTTTAAAGACAACTTTCGACGAAGCGCAACAGATTAGTTTCCGGCTTCTAAGTCTTCCTCTAATCTTGACCGACTCCAGCAGTCTAGTGTGAAATCGATCTACAATTTGTCCATGAAATAATATGCTTTTATAGCGATCACGATCTTGCTATAGCTTGATTGCAATTTCACTGTAGGCTTGTCTAAGATAGTGGATCAGTTATTACGACAATTGTTATATATTACTTATGGTTTTAAAACTCAAGGCTTATTGAGTACAGTAGATTATTATAAGATTTTTAATTTGTTATCAATTAAATCTGACGTGAAAGTTTTTCAAAAAATTTATTTAGTACACTGATAGAAGGATTTTTTTGTATTTAAAAAGATTTGTTAATATTTAATAAATGATTTATTAGAGGATAGGTCCTTAACAAATATTTATTAACAGTTAATAAATCATTTATTAGCAGCTATTTTTTTGTGCTAACCAAATATTTATTATTATTTAATAAACGATTTATTAACATATAAAAAATGATTTATTAATATTTAATAAATCATTTATTAGTATTTAATACACACTGGATTATGAATATTTAAAAAATTCCTCAAAAACGTGTTTCAATATTTTATTTTAATTATAAAAATTACAGAGAATTAGATATTTAATGAAGTAAAAGAAAATTGAAATTAAAAAATACAAATAATAAAAAGATAAATTACAATTAGAAGTTTACACACATATATATATATATATACTTATTTACAACTACGCGTTAAGTAGAGCCATCTACCAACACCGACCACCAACAAAATATTTGTTAACTATTAACAAATCTTATTTGGTGGAAATAAATACTTTTTTCAATACACAAAAGCTTCTTAATACTTAAAAAAATTTTGTTCTCATAAAAAATTGATTTAGTTAATACTAACGAATATTGTTAATAGTGAAAAAATATTTTTTCCACCCAAAAAAATATCTGAAAAAGATTTTAATAAATTGATTTATTAAATACAAACAAATCCTTCTATCAGTGATAGTTTATAATTATTCCAAAAATTTGACGGTATGAAAATATTCTCAAAAAAAAAATTAATATTGACCAATTTAATTTATTAAGGTATATAAACATATAAAAGTTCAATGTGCTTAATTACAATACATAATTCATGTTTCATAACATAACATAAATTTGTATTAATTATAATATGGTCAAATATATTTTCACAGTAATATCTTTTAATAAATAATATTAAAATTTTTCAACGAGACATCCTACCCTAATCTATTTCTTTACTCTTGACTTTTATGTTGTCTTTACGACAGACAAAATCTTTTACATACGAAGAAAAATTTATTAGTATTTAATAAAACATATATTAGTATTTAAAAAAATTTTTGTTAGTATTTAAGGAAATTTTATTAATATTTAATAAATTTTTATTTGGGATTAGCCAAATAAACGTTTTATTAAATAGTAATAAAATTTCATTACTATTAAATAAAATTTAATAAAAAATCTTAAAACAAAAATTATTTCGAAAAATTAAAAACTTAATTTACGAAACTCGAGTCAAAAAAATTTATTTCTTTAATTTTTTATAAAACACAAAGTTAAAAAAAATTTTAATTAATTGAAAAGTTGTATATTCACATTTTTAATTAATAAAATTCTCATAAATTTAATTAATAGCAATAATTTTCAACTATTTAACAAATTATTATTAACTAATTAGTCACCATTTAAATAGTAATGACTTTTTTTTCATCTAAGAACGGCTGTCTCATTTCAAAACACAGTAACAAAAATTTTTCGGTTTTTTTTTATTGCATTTTTTATTATTTCAGATTAATAAGCCCCAAAGAAGAAATACGTATGCAAACATATATAAATTATGTATGGCAAATGATCTCAAGAGCCAAAATCACCTATTTTTTTTTTTTTTAGGTGTCTGTATTCTTAATAATAACAAAATATTGTAAAATTAAGTCTAAAAAAATTTTTTTTTACTTATAAATTTCAATTAAAAAAAAAAAAGTAAAAAAATATCCAAATTACCAGACTACTACTTTAAATCTTTTGTAAAATAAATAGCTGCAAATTTAATAGAATTACTTTTGAAAATAAGCATAAATTTAGACGCGCAGTGAGTATTTTCACTTGTCATTGCCTTGACAAGTAACTACGTTTATTACTTTATTACTTGAGTAAATATATTGAATCATCAAAAATAACTATGTATATATTAAAAATAATGAATGTCAACACTCCAGTAATTGTTATTCCTTTTGATAGACAATTCCATTGTTTTGGGATGAAGATTAAAAAATTACTAAATGAAGCTCTAAGTGTTTCCACTATAATTTTCAATAAAAGAGGACACGATTAATAAATCACGATCGTAATATCCTTATTCTTAACAATTTATTGTCTTGCGTTGACCTATTTTCCAGCGTTTTTATTTTCTATAAAGAATTGTCGAGAAGTCTCTGTAGGTAACCTGAATTCTCTATAACCGTATATACGCAACGATAATTAATTCTATGGGAAATGATATAAAGGAAGGATGATGAAGGTAGGTACATAAGACAAAAAATACTAGTTAGCAATACTATCATATTCTACTATGCGTGATTTATTAATTTATCCCTGTTCGTGTTGCTTTTGTATTATTGAAAATGTGTATTTTTGGACATTTGAATAAATGGATATGGAAATTTTAAAAAATGGACATTTGATTTTTTGGAAATAATAATAAAAGTACTCAAGTAAATACTTAAAATATAAAATATAGTACTTAAAATATATTTTGTAATGAGTCTAGTAAAACTTATCAGCCTACAACATTTAACAAACATTTCTAATACTAAACTTATAGCCATATATTTTACTCTAATCCTATTACCATAGTATTCTAATCTTTTTACGATACTTATTCTAATTACAATGGATGGGAAATTTCTAGAGAGTGACCAGGAGACTAAAATATTAATGGGAATTTCCTTAGCGTTCTCTAAATTATTTTATAAGTTTCTGAATTTCTCGCGCTATAAATTATCATAATTTGTTCTCGCGTGATGGCGCCTCCAGCGACCAAGTAAACCGTGATATAACATATCACAAGCTGTACCTCGCCTCTTATGTCGATAATTTATCTAGATGTCGCATAAGTCTAATGCTATTTTAAATTAAAAAAAAAAACCGCTAATTATGGAATTACTATGCGTGACATTAATTTATCCCTGTTCGTGTTGCTTTTGTATTATTGGAAATGTGTATTTTTGGACATTTGAATAAATGGATATGGAAATTTTTAAAAATGGACATTGATAAAAAAGGAAATAATTATAAATGTACTGGCCAACTTAAAAAAATGAAATCCCTATTTTTGAAAATATCTCCAAATGGAAATAAAAGTATTTGGTAAAGAGTTGTTATGAACAAATAGAGGATTAATGGACATTTTCTTAGATAAACATTTATGAAAATGGATAATAATATAAAAAGACATCAGTAAAAATGGTTAAAAATACAAATGTACAATTGAATAAAAGGAATAGTCACTTAATGAACATATGATTTTATGAACAATTGAAAAAATGGACATTTAAATTTTAGGAAAAGTGAATAAATGGACATTTGTATAAATGCCCATCAATAAAAAATGAAATTTGTAAAAATGAACATTTAAACAAATGAACTTCGATAAAAAAATACTTACTTAAATGGAAATCAGTAAAAATGGACATTCATAAAAATGTAAATTAGTAAAAATGGACATTCGTGAAATTGGACATTTCTAAAAATGAATAAATGATTTAAATTTAATTACAAATAATTATGAAGTTGATAAATTATAAAATTAGGGTTTTTGGTGTGCGTAAAGGAAAAAAAATGTCAGAAGAGCTGGGAACTCGGCTACCAAAAGGCATCTTCTTGTAATATTTGATGAGCTAATTGATGTTTTATCGTTTTCCGTAAAAACCTACGAAGAAGATGTCTTGGTAGCCGATTATTTTTTTTATTAATTAATTATTTGTTCATTTGAACTCTTTACCAAATACTTTTATTTCCATTTGGAGATATTTTCAAAAATAGGGATTTCATTTTTTTAAGTTGGCCATAAGTGCAGTTGTACATTTATAATTATTTCCTTTTTTATTAATGTCCATTTATATTAATGTC